AAAGAAAAATACGTACTTATGAACTAATTCCAAATGTGATTAGCTAATTAATAAGAGCAGCTCAAGTGGTAAGTTCAAGGGAGTAGGAAAAATAAAAAGAAATAGTAGTGTTAAATCTGAATGAAAAACCGGTGGGGAACCCGGAGTCCTGGGAAGGGAGGAGGGCAGTGTGGTCAGGGAAAAGCCAGGAGCGGAGGAGGACCCCTGAAGAAGCATTTAGATTTGGGGGGATCTAGGTGACGGGGGTTGGGGGCTGACCTTCGGGAAGCAGCATCGAGAGGCTTAGCGTCCATGGCGTGAGGGGTCTGGGCCCCGGCTCTGGAGCGCCAGGGAGGCCTGGATAAGAGCCTGGGAGGCCAGGGGGTCTTGGGGCATTGCTGGAAGGGTCAGCAAGGATTTGGGAAGCCTGGGTGAATTGGAGGGGGCTGCGAGGGGCCTAGGAATGTGTGGGAGGAGAATGGATTCGGGGTGGGGGGTGAGAACCCGTGTGTGTGTGTGTGTGTGTGTGTGTGTGTGTGTGTGAGAGAGAGAGAGAGAGAGAGAGAGAGACAGAGACAGAGACAGAGAGAGAGAGAGAGAGGTGGCGGGGGGGGAGGAGATGAGGGCCTTGTGGGTGTGGATGAGGTAAATGGAGGGCCTTGGGAGATCTGGAAGGGGTGGGGGGTAGTGTGCCCATCCTGAGGCCTCGGGGAGCTTTCTGGGGAGGACTTGGAGAAAGGAAGGGCCTGGGGCAAGACTGAAACCTCAGTGGGGTTGTGTGTGGAGGGCCAGGGCCTGGGAGGGGGCGTGAAATGGTGGAGCAGGGGAGGATGCTAGACTGTCAGGGCTGGTGGGCTGAGCAGGAGGCTCCACTGGGGGTGGGGTTGGCAAAGGGAGCCTGGGAGGTGCTGAGGCTGCTGGGGGAGCTGCAGAGGGGGCTGTGGGGGAGTGGCCGAGGAGACCAACCTGGGCAGGGGGCTGTGAGGAATAATGGAAGGGATTGTGAAGAAGTAGGGCTGGGAGGGGTAGTGGGAGAGGCAGGGAGGAGGGCAGGAAGGGGTGGTGAGGGAATCATGAGGTGGGTGAGGGAGAGTGGGAACAGGGCAAGGACCTTGGGGCATTCGCTGTAAGGATTAGATTCTTGGGAGGAGAGTGCTGAATGGGACAGAAAAGGTCCATGAGGCCCAGGTTCGTAAGGGAGGAAGCGCCGCAGACAAAATCAGTTCCTGGGAACCTGAGTGGGGAGGGCAGGGCAGCTTAAGAGGGGCCAGGGGGAGTGGTGGACCAGACAAGGGGGTCCATTCATTTGTTTGACAAGTGGGGGGTAGAGCTGGGGCTTGGGGCAGCTGGGACTGTGTGACAGGAAGAAGATGTGGGTGATTGTTGGGCCAGAGTGGGGGCCAGGGAGAAGAGGGAAGGAAGTAATTGGAGGTGCGGGCTTTTGTGACATGCCTGGAGTGAGATGAGAGACTCAGGGTGCTGGAGGGTGGGTGTGTCAAGCACTGTCAGCACAAACGAGACAAAATTCTCATTCTCTCAGGGCTCACCTTCTATTGGGAGGAGATGGGAAAAGAAACCAACGCATGATTTAGCTTATAAATATTGGGTGGTGCATGGGGCCATGAGAAGAATGAGCAGGGGCAGGGGCTAGTGAGTACTGGGGGGAACCTTTAGGTGGCCCAGGAA